TATATCTAGCCAAAGATTACGGAGGAATTCGGAGTTCTCTTTACTCAATAAAAGCCAAAACTACCAGACAGTGGGATAGAAAATGAGCTAGGCTGAGTTAGGGACAGTAACTCAGCTGTGTGAGTGAAAGCACAAAAATTTAGTCAAAAAAGGCCCCGAAAACTGAAAAAAAGCGTACATTCTGTTGAAGGGCAAAAATTTAAAAGCAGATCAATTTAAGCACTAAAAGTTGAGTGATAAATGAAAAAAGCAGCAACCAAAATCGCCTAGACGGTCAGTGTGGGTATCTGAAACGCTCTGGCTCTAAGGGTGGACGCCTGATTCTGCATAACTGACAAGAATTGTTTGGGATTTTTTGATGCATGTGTCTATTTTTCTTAAGTTTTATGCACTTATTTGTTTTTGAAGATTCGAATGCGTCTGTGCTCCACGAGCAGATTCTCTTCTTTGCACGGGATCTTTCTACCGTGGAATCACTTTTATGCAACTCACCTCAAGTTTTTTTTCCTGATTGCTAAAAGGTGTCATTTCTTTCTGACCGATTATTTAAGAAAGCTGCAGCGGAATTTCTAAGACATCACATACGCGACGCTGCTATGATTAAAACTACTGATAATAATTACGAGATTACTTCGTGTCCCATCCTCCTCGGCCAAAGAATGAACAACGGAAAGATCACGTGTGACACATCCTGACGAGTTGTAATAGCGAGACTTCTTTACCGTAGGAGGGACTGCTTTTCCTTGGGCTCAAACTTGTTATAAGTAGAGCTGCTTGTGGATTTAACATATTTTTAATCCTTAAAAACTATCGAATGCCTCTTCTCATAAAGTCCGATCCGGAGTAAGACCGCTATTAGCTGGAGGTATAGTGTCTTCAAAGTACTAAAGCAAGGCTTATGAAGTTTCTAGATCGAAAAAAGTGCTGGAAATTCCTATCATCCTGGAGCAGGCGCACCTGTGCATACCAACATCCCGATAGCGCTGAAGACTAACGTTTTTATTTGATCAGTGAATTAGGAGCAAACTATTTTCTAAATATTTTTCTCGAGCACTGTGCTTTATGCTTCCTATTTCGTCATGCTTTGTCTTGTGCACTTCTATTTTTCATTTTTGTCAAAATTTTATGTGTTTCTAATTTACAATGAGAACTGCCCAGGCGAACCTGATAATTTTGGTTGAATGTTGGACATTAAAGGAAATGGAATGAAAGGGAAGGGGATGGCGAAATTGCGAAAGAGATATCCCTCGTTCCCAACTGATTTGGAAATTAGGCTCACTCTTGGAAATTGATAGGATTTCGACTATGCAAGGCTGTTTTTGAAAAGGTTTGTTGGTAGTGCTAAGACTTTTATTTGTAGCTTTTCTCTTTCTCATAAGTCCATCACATCTTCGACCAAAATTTTATAATTTAGACTAGCGACTGATACATGATTTTATGTTACTTTTTCCATTTTCGTATAATTTGCAAAATTTCTGATAGTTGTTTCTGCTGTGTAATCTCTGTTATTACTCATTGCCTTTTTGCTTATAAACTTAATAAAAACTTTTGTGAGCTTCAAATGGCATAGTAGCGTAGTGGCTTCTCATCGCGAAACTCGCTGCTGGTGAAAAAAACTTTACGCAATTTGCTTTATTGAAGAAATACAACAACGGTTCCCAGAAATAGAATCACCAGTGACCTGCTAATCTGCAGTAATTTTGCTTCTGATCAACGCTAATCCTTCCAACGAACGTGAAGAGAGGCAGGCTTTTTATCAGTTTGGGAAACAAGAAATCCAAAGTGACGAAAAAATTTTCACTCTGGTTAAGACCAAATTTTCACTGTGGTTAACACTAAAAAATGACGAAATGTCAACTAACAATAGAAAAATCTCTATTCTGATCTCTGGACAAATCTGCAGACGTGCAAATTCATAACCGGGATGAGGATGATTTTGAACTGATTTAATTGAGACCTCATTGAAAGATTGCTGAATTTTCTCTGCAACTGGAGGCCAAGTTTTGTAAACACCAGGAACAAGCCTAATTGTTTTTAAAATCACAACACCGAAAAGTCTCGAAACCAAAAAAATATTAGCAATTTTTGTTGAATTTCTGAGATTATACTGGGAAAAACAATTACAATCTCCAAGCATTTACAATTCTCTTTATCACACTAAAATCGAGCAAGATATGCGAAACGCATGTTGCTTGCTGCACTGCGTCTGCGCTCCTGAGCCACCATTTCGTCGCGCGAAATCATTTCCGCATGCCAGATATCCATATATTCTTCGAACGCCTGTATACCATAGCGTATCTGTAATCATATTTTGAAGGTAATTTTAGAAGAATTCAGAAAGTGCAATTGGAAATTGTAATAAATTGCGCTTACCTGCTCTAAATTCAACGAAACAAGCGCGAAATGCAGCCTAGGCGACTCAAAATTGGTCAAAATGTGATAGGTGTACAGTGAAAAGATTAAAGAATATGTCCAACAAC